ATCATTATTCATGCACCTCTACAACAACAAAATACCTCTTAAGTTTTCACTGTATTTTTCACCACAATTTTATTTCAAAGAATCAAGAAATGGTTTGGGGTGGAAAGGACCTTAAAGATCATCTTGTTCCAATCCCCTGCCATGTGCAGAGACACCTTACAATAGACCAGGTTGCTCTAAGCCCTGTCCAACCTGGCCTTGAACACTTCCAGGGATGATGTGTTTGCCCACAGCTTCTCCGGGCAAACTGTACCAGGGCCTCAACACTCTGAGAGTAAAGAAATTCTTTCTAATATCTAATATAAATCTCTCCTCTTTTAGTTTAAAACCATTCTCTTTTGTCCTATTACTATCTATCTGTGTACAAAATCTCTCTCCCTCCTTTTTATAAGCCCCCCTTAGTTACTAGAAGAGGGTCTAAGGTCTCCCCAGAGTCTTCTTTTCTCCAGGCTGAACATCTCCAGCTCTCTCAGTTTGTCTCCATAGCAGAGGTGCTCCAGTCCTCAGATCATCTTTGTACCCCTCCTCTGAACCTGCTCTAACAGCTCCACGTCTTTCTTGTGCTGAGATCCCCATCTGTAGAGACTGGTTACCTTAATTCCTATTGATACCTGCAGTTAAGACCATGATCCTTTTATCTGTGTGTCCAATACCATCTGAGGCGTGTTATTTGATTAAAGGCATCTAGACTGGCAAATATGGATCCGGATTGGTAAGAGGCATCCATGCTTCCACAGCTGAGTAGGATGTTCCAGAGCACCTAAAAGGATACTAGATAGTCATGTTCAGGCAAGTGAAACCCATCCTGTGGGCATGTTTTAGTTGTCTGGACAAAGATGTTTAGTGCCTTTTGAAACATTCATGGGTGTGACTGCTGGCTCAAAGGACAGCCCAGACCTGTGTCTATCTGACAGCCCAGTGGAGATGTCTCAGATTCCCTAAGGCATCTAGAGCTGCACAGTTGACGCAAAGTAGGTTTCTACTTAAAGCTAACTTATCCATTAGACCCCATCAACCACATTCTCTGGGACCCATTCATTTGCCTAGCCATGGGCATTTAGTATCCTTTGGAATGGGCAAGTTCTGAACTTCTCCAGTAACTCCCATCTGTGACAGACCCTGTGAGAGATGAAGTACCAGAGAAGATGCCTAAACTCAGGCAGTTGATTCAAGTCTCAATTTCTGTTCATTGCAGAGAGCAGCAGCACAGATTTACAGATACATTACACCAATACAAAACTATCTGAGCCTGGAACGTGGCAAGTTTGGAGCAGGGTATTTTTCCACGGTTTCCTGAGTACTGATCCCAGGTTTCTAATCACAGAATAATCTTTTATCATTTTGATAATGTGATTCTATATTTTAAAGCAAAGCCCCTTTTTTGTTTGTTTGTTTGTTTTTGTTTTCTTTTTTGTCTGTTTTGTGTTGGGTTTTTTTGTTTGTTTTGTTTTTGTGTTTTTTGTTGTTTTGAAGAAGTCTGATGTTGATGAAGAGATTTCTTATTCAATGCTTGATAACATCGTAAAAATATCTTTTTGGAGAGATGAAGAAGAATCTTTTCTGTGGGAGTTTTGAAATCAAGATCACTTAAGTTTTGCTATATTAAATGTAGATAGATCCCTGTCACATGTCAAACATCCCAAGTTTCTTTTTCTTCAAAAGTTATGGATTACTTTTGCTCAGAGGCAATACTAGAAATAAATACACCGCTGTCTGACTGGTGGTTTCAGCAAAAGACCTACTGGTCAAGCCAACCTTGTGATCTTCAGGCCCTTATCCTGTTGTGTACTTCCAGGAGAGCAATTTTAAACCCTGTGATTTCTTTTGCTGTGATTTGTTCTGCATAAACCACATCTCCATTAAATATAGTGGAGCTGTGAAGTAGGTTGGATTGGTTTCATAATGTAGAGGTCTGTACTGCAGAGCTACATTAGGTTTGACTCTCTTTTGTCCCCTAGTAAATTAAAGGAAAAAAGAGATGGTACCTGGGTAAAATACAGCTTAATTAAAATACAGCTTAAATTCTAATCAAGTAGAATTCTAATCAAATAGAAGTCTAATCAAGTGACATTTCTTCTTAAAAATAGAAAATTATTCATAGCTAGCTGATTTGGAGATATTTTTACTGCAGAGGTCTACAGTATGGACAGTGGAACGCCCCTCCCATCCCACCCCTTCCGTGGGTGAGAATCTGTTGCAGGTTTTTCTGCACATGATTAACAAAACACATTTTTCATAATTCATTTATTACAATGACAGGGCCTTGTTAACTAAAAGAAGTGAATTTTTTGCTTAGACAGATGTTAACCTCCAGGTATGCAAGCTTTTCTACAAGGAGAGCTGCATGAATTCTCCTGGAATACCAACTGCACAGACTATTTAAGTAACATTACATCATTGGACATATTGGTCAAACAGGAAGATAAAACATGACAACCCCCAATCAATAGGAATGCTTTACATAATTTTATGAAGCTTGAATTATGGATGTAGCGCCTGGGATCAAAGCAAACTCTGTATTTTATGTCTGTGGTGTAAACACTGATGTCCAGCATGATGCTTTTGGTAAGCCCAAAGGGATTAGCTCAAGAATAGTCACAATTTACTTGTATTTTGTGCAGTAAACCTACATGATACAACAATCTACATGAGATACTCTTTGCTTGAGACAAACCATGACAGCCCTTCTTGGCATCCAACTTGGGGCTTGAAGGGTTTGAGATAACGACAGATTTGAGTCCAGTGTGCAAGATGGAATTTATCACTGTTACTGCTGTTTAGCTCTTAATTGTCAGACCTAGGAGATATAAGATAGCAGGAGGTGCTGCACAGCATGTCAGAGCCACAGCAGTATCAAGAATCTCTCCAGGAAGTGTCAAAGGATGGCATAGATAGAAAAGATTCATCACAAAAGTAGGTTCTCTGCTTGCATCTCCCATCTTCTTAGGAGCCAACCTGCCAAAATTTATAATCATGTTAAACCCTACTTGTGTGGAGCACATCCCTTCACTCTTACCTAGACCTTATCAGGAGTATATCATCCAGTATTTCATCTGAGGTCCCCAGTGAAGGCAGGACATTGACCTGTTGGAGTGATTCCAGAGGAGGCCATCAAGATGATTAGAGGGATGGAACAGCTCTGCTGTGAGGAAAGGCTGAGGGAACTGGGATTGATTGGCCTGGAGAAGAGGAGGCTCTAGGGTGACCTAACTGTGGCCTTCCAGTACCTGAAGGCAACCCACAAGAAAGATGGAGAGAATTTACAAGGGCCTGGAGTGACAGGACAAGGGAGAATGGATTCAAACTAAAAGAGAGTAGGTTTTGATTAGATATTAGGAAGAAATTCTTGACTGAGGGTGGGGAGGCCCTGGCACAGGTTGCCCAGAAAAACTGTGGATACCCCATCCCTGGAAGTGTTCTGGGCCAGGCTGGACATGGCTTGGAGCAACCTGGTCTATTGTAAGGTGTCCCTGCCCATGGCAGGGGATTGGAACAAGATGTGCTTTAAGGTCCCTTCAAACCGAGGCCACGAATCTACATCCTTCCATTAATGGCACCATTCATTTGACTGGGATGAGATGTATCTGGCCAAGGAAAACATTTCAGTAGGTCAGACATTTGTACCTTAAAGATGCCTCTTTCTCTCTGATGTCTATTAAAGAATCCCAGGGCAACTAAATCAGGTGTTATCGTGTGTACTGTAGATATCTTAAGCTCAATAAAATGAACCTTACCCTCGAGGAGTCTTGAGTTTTGTCAAAATTATGTCACAAGTAACCTCATTTTCAAAAAATATCTAGAGATTTTAGAAGCCTCTTCTGCTGAAAGCCCAGCTGAGACCATGGACCATGGACTGTCAGATGAAGTTACTTAGCTTGTTGCTTTTCAAAGAAAAATCAAATGTTCCTTGGTAAGTTCTGGCTGATGTTCATTTAATCTGTTTTTAAAGACCTAAAATACTGAAGATGTTTCTTAACATCTAGCCACAACTGAGTTTTAGTGCTTAATCTCAGGTTCACAATATTAAGCAGAAAATCAAGGTATTTTTTTACTCAAAAGTAGTAATATTCTAGTAGCAACAGTCAAAAGAAAAAAAACACCAATATAATTTCAAAATAGATCTATATTAACCATACTTTTCTGGGGAAATAAATAGGCTTGTTTTCCATCTTCTAATTAGTATAGACAAATGATACAAAATAAGCCTTGAAAATCAGAATTAAACTGGCTGTGGAGACTTGTTATATGGGAGATCTAGTTTCTCTTGCTGATTTATGGACTCATTTGAAAAATCTATAACATATGTTGACTTCTAACATTTACTGACTGTTTTGTCTTGTCTTTTTATGTTCAGTTGATACTTCTGAATCAGCACTACTGCAAAGGTAAATCGTAGAATCACAGAATGGTTTTGGGTTGGAACGGACCTTAAAGCTCATCCAGTTCCACCCTCTGCCATGGGCAGAGACACCTTCCACTATCCCAGGTTTCCCCAAGCCCTGTCCAGCCTGGCTTTGGAAACTTCCAGGGATGGGGCAAATGTTACCCTTGTATATGTGTCACTCTCTCTTACCTGGAGACCTTTACTACGAGTTGGAGCCTCCTGTTCTAGCAAAGGCTAAGAAGTCAATGCTACCCTCAGTTGCTGTCCTGGGAAATTCCAGTTACCATCAGATCCTGGAATATCTTCTTCAGACCAGTGTGGATTAGGTGGGTGAATGAATTAAATTTAACATAATTGATGGACAGAAGAGATGCATGAAATAATCATGGAATAGACAAAGCCATCAGCTTCTTCTGCCATCTCCCTGATAGTCTGATAGTCCAGACACCCAGATCCACTGAGCTGCAAGTCCTCCTCTCACCATCCAGCCGATGTCCCGAGGCAACCACTGGGCCCATGTTAGACAAACCTCCCACTGCAAACGCATAATTTTCTCATCTGGGTCATATGAATAATAACAGAGACAGGCCTTTTTTTTTTATTTGATGTTGCTTTCAATCTGGTGTTATTTCAGCATTAAATGGCTGAATTCACTGGCATTCACTGAGCTTTGTAACTCCTTGCAAACCAAACCATATGTCAAGACTCTGCTGTAGCAAATTTAAGAGTCTGCCATTTGGCTTGGAGATTTTTGCTTCCTCTTGGTTCAGACTTGAGCTGCAATTCCTATAAATCCTGTGAATAGAAGAAAATTCCCTTCTCAATTCAATCCTGCAAACTAAATTGACTTCTCTTTTCGTAAAATTTTCTTCCACAACTGACATATTTGACTATACTTTTATTCCTTTCTTTAGGAGGAAGGAGTATCCTCCACTTCTTTCAGCTTGTCCTGAATTATTTATGACAAAGTAAGAAAACCTGTTAAAACAGAAAAGAGCAGGCTCTAAAGAATAAGAAAGTTGTCAACACTTTGGCCTTCACTAGCTCAGGGCAAGAGCTGATGCCTCACACTTTCATGGAAATGAAGATGTTAATGAAGAAACAGAGTAGGGAGTGAGAAAGAGAAGAATGTGGTTTCTGGGCCTTTATTTTGTAAATATTTGGACTCGTGCAAATTTGTTAATTGAGGCAATTGATTTTTGCCTGAAAATGGTAGCAATGTCTAATTCATTAAAGCCTAAAATAACATCCTTTGGGCTAAATGGGGTCATTTCATTTGTAACCTTTTAGTGATGTATTAACAATTTGGAAGCGTTTTGGTGCATATCTTAAAAAGTACCACATTAACAGGAACGGGCCTGGAGAAAGAAAAAAAATGAAGAAGTTACACACACACACACACATACACACACACAGAGTACACATGGCCTCCAGCCCCTGTCCTTCCTCTTCTGCAGCGTTTTAAGGTCTGTGTTTAATATTGCCAAGCCTACTTGAGTGATAAATGCAACTGTATAAAAATTACTTATTACAAGCTGTCATGTTGCCTCACTCACATGGCAGGGCTGCAGGCACTGTACATAAAGCTCGAATCTCCACCTTGACAGCATCGGCAGCGCCGGCTTTAAAATAAAATGCTTTCAGTCATGAATACAAAACATAATTTACCTTTTCATAATACTTCAGTTTGGAAACACTTTGGAAAGCTCATGTTACCGTCAAACCTTTACCTGAGCTGTGCCAGCACCCAGTTAATTCCGAGTTGTCAATTTACCTCAGCGCTGCTTTCCATCACTCAGCCTTTGAAGAAACATTAAGCTGTTCAAATTGCCATCCCCTTAATTTTTTTTTTTTAAAGTTATATTTATCCTCAGTTCTTTGGCGGTGAGTAGCTGACACAATAGGATTATTCCAAGCATTAAATTACAATTTGGGAGAGTGCCTGCTTGCTATGTTTCTTTTTCAGAACCCTCCTGACTTGCTGCGTGTTCACGGCATCAAAAAATATTCCTGACTCCCATCCCCTGCTTTCCCCTCGCACCTTTTCCGTAGAGTCCAGTTACACAATTCCCCTTGAATTGCTCCTCCCTTCCAACGTCTGGCCGAGATCAGAGGTTTAATTCCTTGCTGTGGTAGCCCAGCCACCCCTTTTCTCCTGCGTTAATACTGTACTGATGCTTAAACATAAAAGCTCAGTGTAAGCTGTGAATGTCAGCGAGATGGAAATTGGAAGTGAAGGTTCCAGGGAGCCTGGCCGGGTAACAAGTGATGCGTTGTGACTGTTTTTATAGTTGGTCATGATGCATACAGTATGTGAAGTTCCCATCTGTACTGGTGTCTGCCCACCAGCCACCCTGCCACATTCGCAAAAGTGGCTCCAGCACCGAGCGCAATAGGAACAGAACTGCAGATGCCTCCCTTTAGCCCAAATTCCTTTTGACAATGTTCACATCCAGTTAGGGCCCAAAGTGCTTGTACTTGTCAGGAGGGATAAGGAGTGAGGAAAGTAGTCCCTTTTCAAAAGCGAAACAGAATTGCCAAAGGAAATATTTTCTCTTCTTCTCCCCCTCCTTTCCCTCTTCAGCTGCCCCTGCCTTTGCAACTCCCTGTCCTCCCCTCCCTCCTCCACAGATGCAATGTCCAAAAAAAGAAAAGGAAAAAAAAGCGAAAAAAATAATTAGATTGGCAACTCTGATACAGCTCTACAGCAATTGTCTTTTTTTTTTTTTTTCTCCAGCAGTTGGTGGAGAAAGGGAATACAAGCAGGAGAGAGGCAGGGAGGGAAGATTTTGGATTTGACAGGGCTGACTACAACAGCCCACAGGAGACATATCGTGCCCACGAGCTCTGGGATTCAGCTACAGGGAGATTTGCTGTCCCTAGTGGGTTGCTTTCCTGGCTGACAGCAATGGGTGCATTTCCTATGCTATTTGAAGCTATTTTGATTCCACCCATACAGATATCACTTGGCTAGCAACAAAATCCACTTCCCTTTATATTCTCACCCTTTCTTTTTCTTTTTTCTTTCTCTTGATTTTAATTTATTTATGGATCATTTAACGAATAAAGGCCATGATGCTACTGTTCATGACACAGAGTCAGAACACAAAGGTTTCCTGGTTCTCACACCTGATGACAGGTCTGTGATCCTCAGCTTGCTCTGAGCACAGCCTTGTGACTCAGCTTCCACACCTGTAAAAGAGCAGAATAATGCACAACTCTTTTGGTAGAGAGCTCTGAGGGATGGGATCCTCAGCCTTTACTGGGAGAATTTCTGGTGATTGATGCATTAGACAGCATAGCAGGTTTCAGAATAATGGAATGGTTTGGGTTGGAGGGGACCTTAAAGCTCATCTGGTTCCACCCCCTGCCATGGGCAGGGACACCTTACAATAGACCAGGTTGCTCCAAGCCCCATCCAACCTGGCCTTGAACACTTCCAGGGAGAGGCATCCACAGCTTCTCTGGGCAACCTGTGCCAGGGCCTCACCACCCTCACAGCCAAGAATTTCTTCCAAATATGTAAGTCTATTCTCTTTCAGTGTGATACTGTTGCCCCTTGTCCTATCACTTCATGTCCTTGTCCAAAGTCCCTCTCCAGCTCTCTTGGAGCCCTTTTAGGTACTGGAAGGCTTTAAGATATTAATAAGTGTTTATAATCAAACAAGTGTTGACAGCTGTGACATTTCCACAGTACTGATCTTGCAGAGTTCCCTCACCTCAACCCAGTGCTCTCACCTGAGCATACCTGATGCAAAAGAAACTCCACCCAGTAAGTCCAGATAACTTGCAGAGATCCTTACCAACCTATTCCTACTTCAGTAGAAAACTTGACCCTGAGGAAGGATGATATGAGGAAATTTCCTGTTCACATTGGAGTGAAGATGATTTGAAAAATCTAGGCTCTTAATCTAATGCCTAAATAAATGACCTTACTATTTAAAAAAAATCTTCTTTGGATTTGGTACACTGATGCGCCTGGCATGTTGTCCAGCTACCTCCTTTTATGTTTTAAAAACAATAGAAATTCAATAGTAATAAGTATTATATATATAAAATATATGTTATATATGTAGTATTATGAAAAAATAGACTATATTATATATATAATATATATAGTATAAGAGAATATAAATTCAATAGGAATTAAGTTTAAATAAGGAGATTCCTTTTAGAATTATCCATATATGACTAAACACATTAGTAAATTTTAATTTTTTTCCAAGGTTTGCTTTTGAGCAGGTATAGAAATTTGGTGAAATTTAGGCATCCAAGCACCTTAAATATTTTCACAATACAGAAACAATGTCAAGACCATTCAGGTTTAAATTTTGAATTATTGTAGCACATTAAAAAAATGCCTTGTATAGGAATCTTGGGCTGAATTCCAGTCATTTGGCTGAGGTGATGATGACTTTCCTATTATTTTATCCCTTGTCCTGGGTAGCTGCAGTGCAGCCTCTGGAATCTCTGGCACGTGGGACAGCAAAGAACACGTTTATGGGCACTGCATGTTCTGAAAAAGCATTCAAGCAAAGTAGGCTCAACTCAACTTTCTGTCACTGCTGGTTCCTGAAAATTCAGTTGTGTTTTCCTGGTTCTTCAGGAAGAAATGCAGTGTTGCACAAGACAGCTGAGGGGTTACATCTGGGCTGTTGACATAGTGTAGCAACATGACTGTAAACCTGGAGAATAGCCAGAGGGAATGAAAAGGGGAGAAGTTCCCCCCAACCACCCAACCACCCCAAAACAATCCCAAACAACCTAAATCCCCAAACAACCTAAATCCCCAAACAGTCCAAAACAATTTTAAGATCTGGAAGACAGTTACAAAGGAACTGGCTTTCCAGTAGTCCTGAAGCCCTGGATTTTGTTCCTGGAATAGCTGAATGTGCTTTTCCTACGTATTCTCCTCAACTCGTATTTGATCGGACCCATCTGGCCATCTCACAGTCCTAAAGGGGAAACAGAAAATTTCAGGGAGGGCAGAAAACAGCAACTTGCAACAGTATCCAGACTTCATGCCTTGCTGAATCCATATTTAGTCTTAACATCTGCAGGGATGCTCCACACAGGCTTTTATTCCACTTTGCAGAACAACCATCTGATGGGGGGAGTGAGGCTGATTTATCACCGAGGGATTCAAAGGGAAATGGGGCTGCAGAAGAGCAGTGTGAACTGGCATTACACAAACAACCTAAAAATAAAGGGAGAAGAAAAAATAGAAACAGTTTAATGGGATTAGAATAACTGACATCTTATCTTCAGTCTTGATAAACAAATAAGAGTTCAGCCATCTCTTTCCAAAGTTTAATGTAGCTAAATGCTACTTTTTTTTTTTTTGGGATAGTACAAAACCAGCCCAGGCAAATCCATACCACACTCACAAAACTGTCATCATAAGTTTTTCCTTCACTGGGAGAACAGTCATTCCAAAGCTGAGACACTCTGGGATTTCACTATGTGGAAATGATGGCACAGTCAGCTCAGTCACTGGCATTTGGATGAGATTTAGTTAACAGTTTTCCCTCTTTCTCTGCAGTTCACTGAACGAAAGGGTGGGTGGTAAATGGAGCTGGAGATGATCACTGGAAATGCTCTGAGGTCTTATCTACAACCTTAGTTTCTAAAATGATAAATACTCAAGATCAGTCCACTGCTTCTCACACATAAATAAAGTTTCAAAAAAGGAGATGATCTTGTATTGAAATATTGAATTAAGACTCCAATGGCTCCTTCCTGGACTCCCTATGCAATCTCAGGGAAGTAATTTAGGTCCAGCTCTCTTCAAGTTTGAGACATACTCCAAAATTATTTACTGAGCTTCCTTGTACATACAGTGGGAGAGGCAAGAACCATGGGGTGGAAATAAAGGAGTATGGGAGGATCTGTTCTCCCCTTCAGAAGATGCTGGATAAAGAGCTTTTGGTGTACTCCCACAGTTACTTGAAATCATTCCTGGACAGAACAGACACAGAAAAGAGGTGTGCTGTCCCTCTTGTACTGTTGATACCCCACTCCCTGGTGCTGGAGTAAGCTCTGGTGCAGACACTTCGTGATGTGATCTCATAGAATCACAGAATGCTTGGTTGGAAGGGAACTCAAAGCTCACCTAGTTCCACCTTCCTGCCATGGACAAGGGCACCTTCCAGCAGACCAGGTTGCTCCATGCAGCATCCAACATGGCCCTGAGCACTTCCAGGGATGAGGCAGCCTCAACTTCTCTGAGCAACCTGTGCCAGGGCCTCACCACCCTCACAAGGAAGAATTTCTCTCTAACATCTAACTTAAATCTCCCCTCTTATAGTTAAAAAACATTCCCCTCTGTCCTATCACTGCATAACCTTGTCAAAAGTCCAGCTCCAGCCTTCTTGTAGGCCCCTTTTTTGATCTCTTTAGATGAGAACCTGAAAAATACTGTATTTGTCCTGATCAGATTTCAGGTGTGATTTCTGAGCACTAGTGCCAGCACAAGAGGTGTGACAGACCTGGAACAGCCCTTTGTGGCATCAACCAAACCTCCAGAGATATTAAAGTGCAGGCAAAACCTTGATAGTTTTGCTCTAAAGTATCATTTTAGGTGGCTCATTGCATGTGAGATGAATCCCACCTGTAGACTTAAGTCTATGCTGGGTACTGAGGTGTTGCCCTAAAGATCCACAGATGAGCTCACCAAGGATGGGGAAGCAGGACTATACTTCATTAAATATCTTGTTTCTGTCCGGGTAATAATGTAGCTGAAATAATATTTATTTCAAGTTAAGGTGTGCTCAGGGCTCACTGTGTTGGATGCCCTGCAGTCAGGCTGGTGGTATCTCCAGTTTCCCTCACTCTTCCTGTGCCTGCAGGTGAAACAGGGCTAGGATACTTTCCCTGGCTCTGTTGTCACTTGCCATGCTCCAGCCATTCATACCTAAATCCCCTTACTGTCTAAAAGGGACCCAAACTGCCTATTAGAGTGTTATAAACTGTTATCCGGCTCCTGGACAACAGCAGGGATTTCTTTGGGACAGTGCTGATGCCTTGGGCTAAACACAAGTCAGTGGCCAATTTAATAGCAAAACAAAATTAATAAGCTCCTATTCTAAATGACTGGACATCAAGCCAACTCTTTGCAAAGGTTTCCAGACCCTTCAGCAGAAACAAGCAATGAATTTTTACATTAAAACTATGCAAAATCCCTTTTTACAGCACACAGCCAAGTGGTGTTTTGTTTCTTTAAATTTCACTGGGAATTTTTAGGAGGAAATTAGAAGCTGATAACTACCAGGGAATTTTAGGAGGAAGAAAAATGAAAGCTGTGTTTGCACAGGTTTGTGCAGTTGGAAATAGCTGAGTTGCACATGCCTCTGGCTCTTATGTTGGATTTCAGCTACTGCAGTTTACTACTTTGTCTTTTGGCTTAAGTGTGCACTTAACTTTTTTTGTCCACTGACTGCACAAAAAGAAAATATAAACTCTTCTTGTGACACAATCTCTCCCATTTTTACCCTTTTAAAATTTCTTCCAATGACCCCCATGTAGCTTTGGTGTGCCTGCTTAGGGAGGAAGAATCCTCTGCCTTCTTGGTGAGCAGAGCCGGGATTGTGTGTGACACATGAGCAGAGTGCAGAAAAAAATGAAATGTGTGAAATTGCCTTCCAGTCCTGACCTGGAGGGACTGTCCAGAGACTGGAAAAGTCCACACACACAATGTTCATTCATCTTCCCTGCTCACTGTATGAAGACTGTCATCAGGAGTGCCAGTCTGTCCCAGCTGAGTGATGTGCCATTTATCTGCTCAGAATTGAGTCTAACAAGTCGTTTTATGTAGCCTAGGAAAGCAAATACACATTTGGTGAAAACAATATCCAGCTTCCTCACCATCCCTGGAAGTGTTTAAGACCAGGTTGGACAGCGCTCGGAGTAACCTGGGGTAGTGGAAGGTGTTCCCGCCCATGGCAACAGGGTTGAAACTAGGTGATATTTAAGTTCCCTTCATTCAGGTCACACCAAACTATGGTTCTATGATTCTATATCCCGAGTCAAATTTAAGCCAACAACCTAAAGTAAAGCACTTGCTATCTTGTTATAAATACTCTTGAAGACAATCAAGACCATTACAAGTTCCTTCGGTGCTCTCTCTGCTTTTACAATTATATTATCTTCTTATTCTGGGTTTATTTAGGCACATTCAGGACCTTTGATATGAATCTATCAGTCAGACCTGTCACTCTGTGTTGTCTTTCAGATCAAGGCTAGAAGTGGGAGCTTTTCCATTGACCACGCAAAAGGAAATGTTGATCCCTCTTATGACACAATCCTTTCTTTCTCTTTCTTTGCTTTTTGACAGGGAAGAAACCCCTTGTGAGTGATATTTCTTGCTTAGCCCCATCTTTGAACCAGGTTACTGCTTCAACTGGCTGTACTGGCTGGCTGTGAGTGTCAGTCATTTCAGATGAAGCCCTGTCTGCTTCTTCTCTGATTCGGAAGTGGAAGGCTCTGAAGACTCAGAGTATAAAATCGAAGAGTCTTTGAACTCAGAGTGATTATCCTCTTTTCTCTTCTTTTAACAGTGAATGAGAATTGCAACAGTTTCTCACGCACAAGCATCTTTATAGTGTTTCTGTCTGGTACCACCACACAGCACTGCTGACTGTTGTAGATGAAGAAGGATAGCCCAGTCTGCAGGAAACCTTTCTTAACTGGGCTAACTAGTTTGAAAAACAATCTCTTTATAGTCTGGAAATTATTTTGTTTTTCGTTCTTTTTATACTTTATATCTGTTTTTTCAAACATCGGAGTAATAGAGGAGAAGGTGGTGGTGAGGCCCTGGCACAGGTTGCCCAGTGATTCTGTGGCTGCCCCACCCCTGGAAGTGCTTGGAGCAATCTGGGATAGTGGAAGGTGTCCCTGTCCATGGCAGAGGGATGCAATGAGATGATCTTTAAGCTCCTTATCAAATCAAACCATCCTATGTTGCCATGATTCCAATACAGTTTACAACAGGTTTCTTTTTGTTTGGTTGGTTGTTTTGGTTTTGTTTTTTTCCTCCCCCCCAAAAAACTTCACA